AGTGAAATAAATCATCCCCCTGATATTGTTAACATACAAAATGAAATAATAATTATTAACAACAACATTAAAAATGTTTAAATTAAGTAATGATAGACTATTTAATTAATTAAATCATATAGACAATTAAGAAAATTGTATTAAATTAAAGTCAAGACTATTATTAAATAGTGAGATTAAAAAAATTTTAAATGAAATAAATTAACAAGTATAGACTCCAATCATTTGATTAAAGGTATTTTATTGAAGAAGAGGTGATAAAATATAAAAATAAATAAAATATCTGAGCTCGAGGTGAGTATTCTTATTTCTAATTTGTAGTAATATAATTAATTTTCTCTAAATCAAATGCATGAAACAATATAGATACCTGTTTAGGTAGATTAACACTACAAATAATTCATGATTTATCTGTTTTATAGATTATATTGATCATATAAAAAGTATAAATTATAGATTTCTAAACACATATTTAAATTGATTACATATACTGAGTATTATAAAAATATGTTGCTAGTGTGACTGAATTAAATAAATAACTTAGGTTGTTGGCATGTGCATTATTGACTGGTGGAGTTCACCCCATTAGAGGAATAGTTGAAAATGCTAAAATACTGGTACAGACAATTACAAAATACTATTAATATTTGGACCATAATTGGTATAAATTTTAAATGGTACTCCTCTAATGAATATATATATATATATAGAAACAAAATAGAGCAAAATGTTTTGTTGATCATATTTGAATAATCAACTATCAAATAATTTTGTACCAATTTATTGAATTTCAAATAGTATACATATTATTTTTTTCTTTGATGTTAATGCAGTATAAAAATACGAGTAAAAACTACCTTTTCTACGTCTAAATTTATCGACTAATATAAAAAAATAAAAACTAAATTTTATTTAGAAACTTGTTGAAGTGCTAATTTAAATGATAGATTTATAATTTTGAAAGTTTAATAAAAAATTAGAAAGATAGTATTCAAGTACTAACAACAATAAACTGAATATTTCAATAATTAAATGCTTGATAAAAAATTAATCGAGATGTAGAGATTTTTATGTTTATGTGTATAACTATTTAGATGCTTTGTTAAGGAGATGACCTTTTAAAGGTAAAAGACAGTAAGCCCTCTAATATAATGTGAGTAATTTTTTTTTGAAGTATGATAATAATATAATGTTTCTTTTAACCCTCTAGCATTAGAATAATATTTGTCACAATATCTTGATACTGCAAGTATGATATGATTATTATGTTCTATTAGTCAATATGGTCATATAGAAAAGAATGGCACATAATTACATAGTTATATTTATTTATTACAAATACTGATTAATATTGGTCAATATATCTTGATACTGCAAGTATGATATGATTATTTTGTTCTATCAGTCAATATAGTCTATATAAAAACGAATGACACAGAATTACAGTTATTACAAATACTGAAATAAATAAACAGATATAGAATGTAAATAAAATAATCTATATAGCATGCTTGTATGTGCATAATTGACTCAAAAATTATCCCTCGTTAAAAAAATATTGATATTGATAAATCATAATTGATAGAAATTTATTCAGTATTTATAGTACAGATGCTATATAAACGAATATAGATATGATATGATAGAGCCATCAAATGACTTGATTCTTTTGTAATGTCATACTTAGATGGTTAAACAATTTGATACTGATTTAATGAACTTTAACTAACAATAATATTACATTTTAAATTTTCCTATGTTATTGTAATTTTAAGAATATGAGTATTCATAGAATTTGTTGATAACAATTATACTAAACTAATATTTACAGGTTCTAGGCTTTTGACTAAAAAATGACTGACGAAAGGAAAAATGTTTATAAATGATGCAGCCAAACTAAAGGAAGGTAATTATAATCATAATTATTTTATTTTTAGATTTATCTAATCATCAAGAGACTCTTTTGAGATTATCTGGATGATTCTATTTATTACTTAGTGACAGTATTATAAATTAAAAAAATAATTTTTCAATGTTTGAACGTTCGTTGCTGCTATGAAAATTCCAACTCTCGGGTCAGATAATGACAAAAGATGTATCGCGCTTTAGATAAGTTGATAATGGAAATACATTTCTATCATTTGAAGATTAGGGTGTTATATTAACACAAATTATGTGTTATGTAGATAATTTCTCCTAAAATATAATAGAAAAAATTTACTATGCGGAAATTGATCAACTAAAGAGAGATAAATGTTGAGAAGTTTAGCGCTTCATCTTAATCTAAAAATCACATAGGAAGCTTTTATTTATTTATTAATTAATTAATTTTTTTTTTTGCCAGACCTCCAAATAAAAAAAAAGAGTGAAATAGCTTGAAAAACCTTGAAGCAACCAGCCAAATCACACTCATAAAAAAACTATACGATTTGACGAAGGAATTTATGATATAGGCAACAGAAGATAAAAAAAGACCCGAACCAAAAGTAATCGATAGCAGAAGCAATTTATTCTTGGAAGTAGCATTACCTGAGGAAACATAGAAAAAACAATTACGAAGTATATGAAACCACCAATGACATCAAATTGCCAATTCTTCTTTCGAAACTTTAAAATGTTGCCAAGAGCTATCTGCAAATGCAGTTTTGCCAAATCATAGGCAAAGAAAATATAACTAAAAAAGAATTTAAATACATGATGGAAGTAAACTTAATGACATTTGCAACGTGCTTCAAAAAATGTTAAAAGAAAAAAAAATGAAGGGTAGCCAACTTACCCTACTGGAGTCCTCATAAGAAGGATAAGTAGCTTTGCATTCATAAGAATTTCCGTAAAATTGGTTGAAGTTTCTGAAGACATGAGTTGGATGTAGAAAGGCACCACCACAACCATTCACAAGCAGATGTTCTACATACACCGGTTGATCTGAAGGGACACAAGAATGGCGCATATAATGGTGCAAGTCTCCAGCCATGCGAAGCTTACATCTTCCTTTCATGTAATCACGTATTAAATGAGAGACATTTCTACCAGTATTATCATTCCAATACCAATCTAGAAGCCAGGTAGGTTCATGTGTCATCACAATAATAGAGTCATTGTCCCCGACCTGCAAAACTTTTCCATATATCTATGTGAAGTGGGGCAGGCTAATTTAACATTTCAAGCATCATTGAAAACAAGAGCCTTTTTCAAAAACAAGAAAATAGACTTTCGCGCAAAGGTCCAAACAAAAAAAAATCATAGCTCAATTACTTATAAAGCAGATATTACTTATTTAATTAAATACATGATATCAGATTTAACCCAAATCATAATCGAACAACAAATTTTCTTGCTGAATTCAAAAGCTACAACGACGAATCATCAAACATGGAAACGACATGTGTCAACAACGACTCTGCAAAATAAAAAAGAAAACAACACGAAACACAACGGTTCCCTAGAGGAGAGCAACAGGCTGGGAAGGGAAGGAAGGAAGCAGTGGCGATGCTGGAGGGTGGATGGCAGCAGGTGACAGTGTCACTGGATGGCGTAGGAGGGCTTGTGGCTAGCTGGGAGGAGGTTGGCAGCACGTGGCTGCGACATAGAATGGAGTAGGAGAGGTGGTGAGGGACTAGACAACCGTGGGGGCTGGCAACAGCAGAACAGTCTCTGAAGGAGTGTCGGCAGGGGTGGGGCCGGAAGAGCTGTCGCAAGAAAAGGCCTGCAGAGAGGGGATACGGGGGAGGGGGCTGGCAGCAAACCGGAAGGCTAGTGCGGCTGCTGGAAGCATGGACAGCAGCAGGAAAAGGGCCCGGAAGGTTTGTGTGGTGGCTAGAAAGAGCCTGGAGTGCTGGACGACAGCAGAATACTGAAAGGCCGGGGTGTAGAAGAGATGGAAGCAAGCAGTTGAGGGGAATATAGAAAAATAACTATCCCAACGGGTTCGAGCTACAACTGAAGCACCCCTCAAACTGTTGGAGAAGATCACCACCTCGATGAGTTACAACCAGAGCACCTCGTTGCCTTCAGATACAGCCCAAGAAGGGAAATCAACAGCCGACCGCAAGCTGGACAGAAATTTTGAAATCAGGAAGACCAAAAACTGAACCCTAAGACAGCAAACAACATATTTATAATAGGTACTAGTAGTTAGAATTGAAAGAAACTTGAATAGAAAGAAAATAGAAGTAGGAAGGGAATAGAGAAAAACAAGGAATAGAAGAGGAACAAATAGAAATAGGAAAGGAAGAGAATTAGGTAAGAAATGGAAATAGGAAATGAAGAAAAATAGTAAGGGAAATAGGAAAAGAAGGGGGGCAGTAGATTTGGAAAGGGAGGATCCTCTCCCATTTGGGTGTTTACAGTACTGTATCAGCTATAGTACCGCGTCTTGATAAGCTCCCTCATCAATCTCTCGGGGTTGGGAGGAGCTTCGACTTCAATTGTCAAAGTTTTGGGGTCCTCATAGTATGAAGTCAGGTCTGTATCATTGAACGCAACAAAAATATTGTAGCCTCCTAGCAGGTCTATCTTGTAAGCGTTGTCATTCTGCAGCATGTCTTAATAGAATAAATATGCATCATTTTTTGGCACATCCTGAGCTGAAGCTACATATAGATGTAGGTTTCCATAATGTAACTCTCGAGCCCTTAAGTCTGAAACTTGTTTCTTCCACTTCTTACACTTCGCGCAATGTAGCAGATAAATAAGTAAAATTTCAAGACTGAGTTTCATTCCTCCTATCTGGACATTTGATGATAGGTAGCACGTTGAATTGAATTTAACATTTGAATAACTTAAGGTAATCTTTCATACTGGCACAAAAGGGCCTCATTTCTAACGTGTTGGGCCTCCCTCAATAGGGGTAACTCTGAAATGAGCTTATAGATTTGAATGGTTTGGATTTCTCTTAAATGGGTTGACATGCGTCTGGTGTCATTCCTCAAACTCAAGACTGTCTTGGACACTCACCGTGAAGTCCATTGGAGTCTCCCTCATGGACTCAACTGAAACTATATGCATCTTTTCCTCCTCCACTGGAAGCTCGTCCTGCTCCATTGTGGCATTGTCATCTTCCGTGTTTGTTGTGTCATTACCCAATTTTTCAAGAACGTCATGCTCAGTGAAATAAATCATCCCCCTGATTGTGCGGTCTGAATCAACATGCCCAAATTCATGGCACTTGCAACACTTCCTGGTTGCGACAAATTTAGAGATGCAAATTATTTTCCACCAATGCTCCACTCTGACTCAGCTTTTCCACTGACGGGGTCAGCTTAAATGTTCTCCTGGGTGTAATATGGTTGTATGACTTTGAGGTTGAGTGCTACCAATAAGATGTGTTGGTCGCCCAGTGATGTGGTCAATCCACTTCTAAAGCTAGATCTGGAATCTTTTGTCTATAGTAAGCTGATAAGAACTGGCGGTGTATCTCCTGCCTCTTCAGATTCTCCCATTCCCCATATGTTGGCTCTTCTCTCGGCCTCCTATGAAACTGAATTCCAAAGCATAGTGGTCGGTCTTCTACATCACTAAAGTCCTCCCTATGGAGGGGATTTCTCTTGCTCTCCTTCGATTATCTAGATCCTGGTCAAGGGTAATCTCCCCCTTGCTTCATCCTTATATCTGCAAACCTCCGTTGAAGTTGAAGAATCTCCCGCTGTATCTCTTCCCGGGTAGGCTTGAGTATGTATTTCTTTGGTGGCATTGCTAGAGTTTGGAGTGGGAGGTGAAAGGTGTGTGAAACAAATTAAGGATGTAGAAAGTCTAATTAGAGGTTGCTGATTTTGAAAATCAGCAAAAGAATTTAGGGTTAGGTCAAGTTTAGCTATGGTTTCGTGGTTGGCAGGAAAGAAAAATTTTTTTGATGGAGGTGGCTTGGGTAGGGGCTGAAGCCAGGAAACCCTAGAATATGACAAAGGTTGGAATAGCTCTAATACCAAATGATATTGGACCCAAACCATGACCAAACGACAAATTTATTGTTGAATTCAAAAGTTACAATGACGAATCCTCAAAAACATGGACACGATATGTGCCAACAACGGCTCTGCAAAATAAAGAAGAAAACAACACAACCCACATAAACGGTTCCTTAGACAAGGGTGGCAAACCCGGAAGGGAAAGAAGCGACGACGGTAGCGAAGGGTGAATGGCAGCAGGTGGCAGCGGAGCAAGATGGAGTAAGAGGGTTGGCGGCCTACTGGGAGGAGGCTGGCAGAAAGTGGTTGTGGCGTAGAAGGGAGTAGGAGAGGTTGCGGGGGACTGGACAGTTGCAGGAAGCGCAAGCAAGAGGGACTGAACAGCAACAAGGACTGGTGTCTGGGGTTGGACAGTTGAAGGAACAGGTCCTGGAGGGGCTGGCGACAGCAAAAACTGGCTCAGAAGTGCTGACGACAACAAGTACATGCCCCGGGGAGGAGGGTTGGGGAGGGAGTGTTGGCGACCGCAAGAACATGTCTGGAAGGCTAGTGCACTGGCTTGAAGATGACTGGAAGCACGAACAACATCAAGAAAAGTGGTTGGAAGGCCCGAGTGGTGGTTGGAAGAAACCTGATGGCTGAAAGGTTGGTGCATAGAGGAGATGGCAACGAGTACATGGAGGAGAATATGGAAGGATAACTATTCTCAGGATCGAGTTATAATAGAAGCACCCCTCGAATCGTTTGAGAAGATCACCACCTCGAACGAGTTAAAGCCAGAGCACCTCCTCGCCTTCGAATACAACCCTAGAAATGAAAACTGTCTCCGACGTGAAGCTGGACAGAAATCTGAAATCAAGAAGACCAAAAACTGAACCCTAAGACAACAAACAACATATTTATAATGAATACTAGTAGTTAAAATATGAAGAAATTAGAATATAAATGAAATAAAATTATGAAAGGAATAGAAAAAGGAAAGAAAAAAAAGAGGAAGAAATAGAAATAGGAAAGGAAGTGAAACATATAAGGAATATGGGGAGGGGGGGAGGGGGGAATTAGAAAGGGAGGATCTTGTCCCTTTGAGCGTCTACAGTACTATAGTAGTTACAGTATCGCATCCCAGTAAGCTCCGGCGTCAATCCATATAGAAAAATATAATTGAGATAAATCAAGAAGATATACATATAACAACTACTAATTTTCTTACAAAAAGATATTTAAGAAAAATCTCATCTCCTCATGAATCGAATCTAACTCAAAAAGTCTGAAAAAATATTAATCCCACTAACATGTGTAGAAATAAGTAGATGTTATAATTAAGTAGAACAAGGGATCTGATACTACCAAATGTTTCATACATGTGGAATTTTGTCCTATTAGGTGGACCAAACCACCTATCATATGGGTCTCACAGGATCAATTTATAAAAGCTATTGGGGGGACTTACCTATTTCAGTTTTATTTCTTTTTTTAATTCTAATTTTAATTATAATGTATGTCTTTCCTTCATTATTTATTTTGCATTTGGTAAGTTGTAATAGACTTAATTATGTTTTCCTTTACCATTCTCTATATAATAAGAGAAAATATTGTAATTTGAATACGATGGAATAAGAGAATATAGTTTCTCAACATTTCTTTATGGCAGAGCCTTGTTCGGGTCGTGTGCATCGCTAGGCGTAGAAGGTGTCTCTGGCTTCCTCTAGTTCGCCACCGGCTTGTGACGACATTAAAGCGTCGACGTCCGCTATTTTGTCTACTTTGAACGGCAGCGACAAAGTCTTAGTCTATGTAGTTTGAACAAATCTACATCGACTTCATCTGTGTCTGCTTCGAACAACAATGCAGTCTTCTTCCTGAGATGACATCTTTGTCTTTGTTGGTCAAACGATATAACTTTATCTTTGTTCGTCTAAGCAATTTTTCTTGTTCATCTTTGACTGTCTTCTTCGTCTTCGGGTTCGATTGCTAGAACTCCTCGAATGGTATCCCCTTAGCTCTCCTTAAGCAGCTAGAATCCTCCCCGCAGCGGCCAGAATCCTTGCAGTCAACTCGCAGGCCCTCCTCTGCTCGCTCCAACAGCCGTCCAACAGTCAGAATCCTAACTATAGTCATCGGAATCCCCCATTAGAGAAGGTCCCTATAGGATTGTTGGAGGGATTACTTTCACAGAATCCCTCCAACAAGCCTACAGGCCATTCTCTGCCCCTTATCATAGTCATTTGACTCCTGTAGCTGTAGTCCTCTATTCCTACTGCAAGCAACAACCTCTTTTCTCAAACCCAAAACATGCATAGGGTTTTTGACCAAGTATTGAATGAAGGCATCCAGTTCTACTTCTACGTAGAATCGATACTTCTAAAAATGTGATGTATCCATGTCGGACACGTATCGAACACCGGCACTTCTCCAACACTATAAAATATATGTCTGAATTTTTTCAGGAATGAATATGTCTGGGACACACCTCAGCACTACATCGGACGTGAGCTTAAGACGATTTCAAGAAAATGAGACACGGGAATTTGAAAATTATAAGTATACTAATAGCATTAACTATATCTCATGTATCAGGGCACAGTGTTTGAGCTCATTGATCCTAACCGTTGCTCATTGAAGATCCAGAATCATATGGGCATGTATTGATTGATCAATTTTATGACCATAGAAGTAGGAGAAAATTTCTAGATTTACAGAACAACACGAGATTTTGGAAATAACTCATGAGACTTATTCTAATACTGAAATCATTACAGGATTATTTGAAATTGAGACAAAACTATATGAGCTCTGTCAAGTATAGTTGAGTATTACTCAATGCATCAACACCCTATCAAAGTACTGGTTACAGTTAGATGTGTATGATACATATGTATGGAAGTGTTGTCAAGATGTTATGATGTATAAAAAAATAGTGGAGAAGAAAATGATCAAATTCTTATTGAGTCTAAATAAGAACTTAAATGAGATCATAGAAAGAATCAAAGGGATGAAGCCTTTCCCTACCACTAGGGAAGTCCTTGTTGAAGTTAGAAGAGAAGACTGTAGGAAGAAGCTCATGATGGAAGGAAAAGTGTGGTTTCATCTAGCACTGAAAGCTCTGAATTGTACAAGCAAAACTGCTCCAACGATTCAATGCCAAAGAAAAATTGTCCCTTGTGTGAGCATTGCAAGAAACTTGCTCACACAAAGAACAAGTGCTGGAAACTACATAGAAAACACGTAGATTGGAAACCTGGACAAGGAAGGAAGGACTAGATGAGAGCATAGAAAGGTTCAAAACTAAATTTGTAGCATAATAGTTCATTTAGTCCTATGGAATCGACTATTAGAAGACATTTGCACCGGTGGCGAAACTCAACACAATAAGAGTATTACCGTCATTAACTGTTAACTGAGATTGGTCTTAATATCAGTTAGACATCAAAAATGTATTCTCAATGAAGATATTGAGGAAAAAGTGTATATAGAGATACCTCCATGAGTAAAGAACAACAGAAATAATCAACTAGTATACAAACTAAAGAAATCATTGTATGTGTTAAAACAATCTCCCAGAGTATGGTTTGAAAGGTTCATCAAGACTATTCTAGTCAATGGGTATTATCAGTGTCAAGTTGATCATACCTTGTTTATGAAATCAAATCAAGATCGCATGATAATCATAATAATTATATATGTAAATAACACTATTCTTACAGGCAATGACGTAAGGGAACTTGAAATAATCAAAAGAATAACATCTTCTGAGTTTGAAATCAAAGATCTTGGAACTTTAAGATACTTTCTGAGAATAGAAGTAGCTAGATCCAAAGAAGGCATTGTCATATCTCAGAGAAAATATATCCTTATTAAAGAAGACAGGATTGTTGTGGTATCCTTATTAAAGAAGACAGGAATGTTGTGGTGCAAACTAACAGATACTCCTACAGATTGCAATCGACGATCATCAAAAGAAGTGGATAACACCCCAATTGAAAGGAGGATGTATCAAAGACTTGTGTGGAAATTTATTTATCTATTACACACAATACTTGACATTACTTTTTCTCACGGTATAATGAGTTAACATAAAAATGATCCAAATGAAGATCATTTAGAAACGGTCTTTCGAATCCTGAGGTACCTAAAGATGACTCTAGGACATGGATTTATATTCAATAAAACTGAGAACTGTAATATTGAGACCTACATCTGCTAGCTGGGTAGGAGAACTGACTGACAGAAGATCTATCACTTTTCATTTGCATGGGGTAAAAAGCAAGTTGTGGTGGCAAAAAGTAGTGCAAAATTTGAGCATCGTGCCTTGCGATCAGCTACCAATATTTTAAAAAATTTGGCACACCATGATTGAACCAAAAATATGGAGATTGGCAGGCACTTCATCTTTAAGAAGATAATTGAGGAGTTGTCCAACTAAGCTATATCACAACTCTGTATCAAATTGTTGACATTCTTACCAAGGTTTTTCCTTGGCACTATTTTAGTGATTTCAGCAACAAGTTTAAGATGTATGGCATACACAACCGAACTTTAAGGGGAGTGCTGATATGCATATAATCGTAAACAATATAGGTCCACCCATGATTCGGGAAACTTTGGGTTCACTGTTACATTTGAGGGAGAGAAATTATTCTCCCTTAAGTATCCATTATTACGTTATTTTTTTTATCATGATGATTTGAATTTTCCTCTGATTGTATGAGTGTTAGTATCAGCTATAAATATTTGTTATTAATTTGCACTAGTTTAATGGAAAAATTAGAGAGTTTTTCCTCTTAGAAAGTTCCGCCTAAATTCTAACATAAGCATCCACTTTAGCTTTCCTTTCATTTTGTTTGAAGTTCGCCCGATCTCTTTGTCAGTGTTGTAATCTATCATTCGGTAAATCTTTCTTTCCTTTAATAAAAGTTTGATTTAAGCTTATATTTTGTATTTCTTTGACAGAGAGAGAGACATGTGCGGACATGATAATCTCAAATCAAAGTATGAACTAAAGCTTTATCTTGCTTATTTTCAACATATTAAAAACTAAGATAAAAAATATCAATGACATTATTTATGTTTTTAAAAAAATGGAGAAATGGTCAAGTTAACTTTGCTTAAATGATACAATCCCATTCTTTAAAACTTGAAAATGAACCTCATCGGTGCTCGAGTGTAGGACCAAAAAAGGATCTGGCATTCTCTTGGGCTTCCTGATCACTTGAATTTGCGTTAAGATACTCTTCATCCACAAAAGCATTAAGTATCCTTACTGGCATTGATTCGTCATTTCCTCCTAATTTCTCTATCTTTTGAACCATCTATTGACATAATCTTGACACTACCCTATCGATCTTATCAAATCAAATGACTTGCTGCAAGCTTTCTAAGTGAAGTAGTTGTGCTTGTTTAACTTTAATATACCCAGATAAGACGTGGTAGAATACACCACCATGATCCTGAATTGCATATCCTAAAGTAGGCCTACTGCCAACCATAGCACCCACATAATCTACAATTGTATATGATTTAAAAGTTAAATCCTCCCCTTTTTTTAACATAGTTCCTTTGCTTAAGGTTTCCATTGAAATAATGTAGAAATCTGTACAATACTCATAGATCTGAATCTTTATTGTGCATACCAACAGCATAGGCAATAAAAGGTAACATCATAGGCAACAGCAGGTCTAAAATATGATAAATACACGTCATCAAATCTGTCCCAAATAGGCTGCTTTTCTAATACTATGTACTCCTGAAGTATCTCAAAATTTATGATTAAATTTCATGGCACCCTCAACAGATTTTCATCTTAACTCACTTCTTTCAACAGCTATCTATGTATTTTTATCATCATAATATCATTTATGGAGAATGTGAAAATTCAATGCCATGGAAAGTAGTTCAGCTTGCTTAACTCTTTGATATTCAAATTCTCGGTGCATTCTTTTCTTTGAACTCCCCATTACTTTCATATCACTACCTTTCACAATAATGTTATCAGCTTAAACCAATAATGTGAAGACTACCCCTAAACTCAAGGGTTTCACAGAAAAAAAAAAATTAATTATGGTCCCTTTAATTTTGTTTGTCACAGATTAAACATTACATTGACCAACCTTTCAAACCACATCCTTCAAGATTGCTTCTTCCTAAACAATACCTCAATAGCTTACATACTATTTATTTTATATTTGAGACAAATCTCAATTGAACCTCCGTATAAGCTTTTTTCTTCAAATAACCATATAAAAAGGCATCCTTGACATCGAATTGTTATATATTCCAATCTTCGTTGGCCAGTCTGGATGGTCTCAATTGCTCCTAACAAGTTGTTTTGTCTTTTTGTATCATATAAATGGCCTAATTCTCAATTTAGATGGTTATCTCCATTCAACAGTTACATTGAGTGGATGTTTTGCCCTCCCATTGAATTTTTATTATATCCTTCAATTATAAGGGAACACAGCACCAAAGAAACGTGCAATCATTACTGTTGTCCATCGAAAAGGAAATTGTGGTTATGCTCGCATAAAAAACAAAAGAATAATGAAATGCGACAATACAACAATAAATTCAATTTACAAAAATGCAACGATGAAGACTAACAGCATATTCCTTAATTACCAGTTGGTGCTTCAAATGGCAACCCATCTACCGATGCACAAAACAGCAATCCTTGAGTCTTTTCAAATAAATTAAACCCTAGTACACACATGACTGCTTGCAGTAGGAAAACCAACAAACAATCATACCAAGAGAAATCGTGAATTTGGCTTTTCACTAGCATAAAGAAGCTGTATTTTGAAGGATTATCTCATGGTTGCATGTAAAGAGTTTATGCAAATAATGTAATCAGCAAACTTGTATCTGCAAGTCCACATAACCAGAAAGAAAAAATCAAAATGACACAGCCATAGCAGATGGAATGTAAAGCAAATATACCTTCTGTTGACACAACTCTGCAAAAAATTTAAACTGGTAGACATCAATATCACCATGCAGAGCTTGATCAAAACCAAACACCCACCATCCTTTTGGAAGCTGCAGAGCAAAATAACTCTTTTTCTGAGGCATAAACCATCCACCCAACCAGCTCTTATGGCATATGTACCTCATAAATGTGTAGAGTCCATCAAACCAATCTGTGGGCACCAAATGAGATCCTACTTTAGCTTTTATATCTTCAATGGCAATCAATTCTTCAAAAAACGATGTAATGACGGAAGAAAATTATGAACTTGGCAGTTCGTATGAATGTTTATTAGAAATTACTAAGCATCAATTTCTACAAGAATAATCACAAACCATGGTTGCCAGGAATTACAAAACACTGAGGTCCATCATATTGCTCCAGCTTCAATATCCCATAAGGAAGCTCTGGCTTGTTTACTGCTATATCTTCTGGCCTATACCAAGTAGGAGGCTGCAAAGCATACTCAAATGGAACGAAAAGGCGCTTCTCATATGTAAATGCAGAGGGATTAGGGTACCTAATCAAAATATTAAAGCTCTTTATAAAAAAAAAGAAAAGACAAACAGCCTAGCTAAGAATGACTAGCACGCTAACAGCACAGACGGACCCAGATTTATTGTTAAGAATCAATACTAGAGACTTCAGCAAGAAAATTGGGTGGCAAGAGCAATTTATTATTCAAGCAATTTGAAAAAGTACAAAAATATTTCAATGAGAATGGTAATAGAGATTCCTAGTAGGTTAAAAGTTATGCTTAAATACAGTGTTACGCCGGTGCCTAGCCTAAGGGTAATTTTGTCTTTTATGTGCCTAAAAACAATTTTGTCTTTTTTTATTCATTATCTTTTAGTATAAATAGGACTAATATATTTAGAGTTAGGGTTATGCATGAGATTGTGTATGGAGTCTTAGGTTAAGGTTCGGGAGAGATTTCCTTCCGCACAAATTGTCGAAATTGGGAGAGACCACCTACCCCTCGAATTGTAGGTACTTATCTTTAAGTATTTAGATTGTGTTGTTCGGAGTTCATGAAATAAATTATTTGTTACACTAATTTATGTGATAAATCTGTGTCAGATCCTATCAAATGGTATCAAAGCAGTCTACTAGAGAAAGCAAAGACGGCTCCATTGTGCCCTAGTCGGTATCTGAGAGCTAGAGTTTCCATAGAAACCATCGCGAAAGGATCATGGCGTACAGAGCAACTCAATCTGATTTGTTATCGCGATACAGTCGCAATTGGAACTAGCAGGATACCAACGTCAGAATCGATAGCACAACACCAACTGCGTACAGGGACTGCGGCTTACACGGCATCTCCGCCGCGCGCTAATTTCATGTATACTCTCGCGATAGTCGCATGCACAGAGATGCAACATTCGTTCGTGGCTCAGTGGCAATTCAACCTAGCTAGGGAGGATCATAGCATACAAGGAATGCCCCGATCACAGGGGAAGCCAACGTGTGGAATCGCATTGCAACATACAAGACTGCTCTCGATCAAAATATGTATCGAGATTGCAGCGCAAAAGAGTTCCGCGTCACTTGTGATGGATACTAGTGACCGAGGTTTGCAACATACAGGAATTTGGATTGCAGCTCCAGAGTTCCGTGAAGCTTCCAATAGTTCCACTGAATCGCATACAGGAATTTCGAGATTACGGCATCTAGAGTTTCACGCACGTCTAACCCGCGTTCAGAAATTCCAAATCTCCTGATTTCAGCATACATAAGTTTCAAAACTATCCAAAAGTAATGGCGATAAAAAAGATAGATGCTTTGAAGGAAAAAAAAACTAGCGAAAGAGGTCAATCAAATCAAATCTTGAATAGAGGAGCATTTCTCAGCTATGAAAATGAGTTGGAGGAAAGGATCAAAACCCTAGAAGAGATGACAGAAGACTGTGGAATCCCACACAAACCTCTACCGTCTCCAACAGGATCAAGCGACGATGTCTGGAACGAATGCAAGTGGCAACAATTAAAGGAACTCATGCGACATCAGGGCATCACCGTTGTCTCGGTCTTGTCTCAATTGGATGTGGAGCTGCAAGATTGGGTGAAGGAATAAGAAACGAACTTAAGCGCCAACACCTAGAAGGAATAGCACAACATCCAAACGGCTCGAATGAGAGGCAGCATGCAAAATAGGACAGTGGATGATTCAAGGCAGTAGAAGATCAATTTGAAGAATTTCGACCAGAACAAAAAAACATGGTGGATGGGACCCCAACAGAAGGTTGCATCCTACAACATTAGTGTCCTTCAATGTAGCAACCTTCTGGGCAATTCTAGAGCTTATGGGGAAGGGCAAGCTGATTATGGGGCGCTCCGGACTGATGGAAGAAGAAAAATTAATATGGGTCGAGGAAGGGAACCCAACCCCTGATTTATGGGTAGAATGAACTTTAGTCAAGAAAATTGGGGAGGAGGCTCACGCAAGAAGAAGCTGGAGATGATGATCTTTGAAGGAGATGATGTTTATGGTTGAGTTTATCAGGTGGAGAGATATTTTGTTGTTAATGAGCTGATGCAAGAAAAAAATTTGATGAAGGCAACAGTGTTTGGAAGAAAAGGCTCTAGCATGATATCAATGGAGAGAACTACATCAACCAATCTTGACATGGGAAGTGTTCAAGGTCCGATTGTTTGAGCGCTTTAGAACCATGCGAGAAAGAGATTTATAGAAGAAGTTTTTTGCATTGGCCCAGAAAGTATATGTTATAGAGCATAGTGAGAAATTTGAGATGTTATCCGACAGTTTGAGACGGATATTAAAAAAAGTGTTAGAAGCCATCTTCAAGAAAGGGTTGAAACCAGAGATTCAAACATCACTTCGCTTGTTGAAACCGCGAAATTTGAGGGAAACTATAGAATTAGCACAATTGATTGAAGATAAAAATACAATGGAACATGCTAATAGATGCACCACGGGTGAAGCACCATACTAAACTGCTACAACCACAATGATACTAAAAGCTCAAACAATGAAAATTCAGGGCAACACTCAAAACACCTTACAGAAATAGATTCAGGAGAAGCAGTCAAGGGGTTATATTTTCGTTGTGATGAGAAATTTTTTCATAATACCGTTGAAAGGATTGAGCATTACAGGTTCTCACAGTGGTGGCGAGGAAGAGAATGAAGAAACAGAGACAATTGTGGTGGAGGAAAAACAACTTCAATTTTAGAAGAAGAGTAATGTTACTTCGGTGCTTAACTTACGGGTAATTTTATCTTTTGTGCGCCCAAGGGCAATTTAGTATTTTTTCATTTATTATCATTTAGTATAAAAAGGGCTAATCTGTTTAGGTTTAGGATTATGCATGAGATTGTGCCTGTAGCCTTAGGTTTAGAGTTTGGGAGATATTTTTTACCTCTCAAATTATAGGAATTAAGAGAGATCGTCTACCTCTCGAATTGCAGGTGATTTATCTTTATGTATTTGAATTATGTTGTTTATAATTAGTGAAATAAATTATCCGTTGCCCTAATTTCTTAAAAATCTATGTCGGATCTTATCATAGTGATAGCAAATGAATCATGAAATTATTGATTTGATTGTGGTAAGAAGGCAATGAAGAAGAAAACAATTCATCTGGCCTCAATTTCAAATATCAATTCAGGTTTTTAAGAATCATAAGTGGAAAGAAATGCAGCTTACGCAAGATCCCCTCCAATAAGAAGTAAGTTTCCACGCGGAAGAACATGCTTGGAACCACCATTCTTCACTTTAATCCAAGGTTGGGCTAGTAAACGGGTAACAGCATAGGTTGAATTTCCACCATCTCCTGTGTCAGCCATGAAATCAAACCAGAATTCCTCTTTCTCACAGAAATGATCATATAAAAGATCACCGTTTTTAAATTCATCGGGGATCTTGGATCTTGTTCATGGCAGCCTAGAAAAAAAAAAAAAACAAAACAACATATGCTGATAAAAAATATTTGTATGTAGAACCAATATAAAGAAGAAAGCAGACCTATACAAGATCAAAAAACTGGAAAAACATTAAAAGTTGAATGCATACTACAAAGAAAAGAAAAAAAGCAGTCTTAAAGCAGATAGTCCTTTAATTATAACAAAATGACATATTTGAAAATAACTGAAAACAGGAAGAGACAAATAAGATCAAAAAGAAAGACATAGGCAGTAAGACATTAGCAAGAACTACAGCACCTTCTTATGGTATTCCATTTGTGCATATCTACTAGCATAACATATAAGAAATTTGTAGAGATTATGATGAACTTTTAAAAAGCACTTGAAGAACTCAACAAACAAAAAACAAAACTAAGCTAACCTGCATCATTCTCATATCAAATCGCCCAACGAAAAGAGTTACTGACACCATAAGATCAAATACCGTCTTGAATAAATCAGTTGATGTCCTTTAAATACAAAAAATAAATTCGTTAGCATCAACCTTAACATCATAATACTAAAGAAAAGAAGAAATAAAAATGAGAACAGAGAAATGCAAAAGGGAATATCATATTGGATGTAGAAGAGTACCCTGAGTACCATGGAACCATATCCAGGAAATCAGGTTTCATTTGTTTCTTTATCTTCTCGTATTCGGAGATAGTTAAGGGGTGGGTTAGAGCCCATCTATCAAGATCAGTATTAGTAAGAACATAAGAGAAGGAAGACTATTTAAGCAGTGACTAAAAGCAAAGAAATAAACAATCAACTGTATTGGAGACATGAAAATATAGCTTTCTAAGCATTTTTACCCAGTACTTCTAGTATCTAGTTATGTCTAAAATCAAATATATAGAATGATAGATTCTTCATACCCAGTCGAACACTCAACCACATAATTGGCAATATAAAGGCCGATAAATGTTGCCCATAGGGAATATATTGGAGATATTTCATTAGAGGAACCAGTACATGCCCCATTGCAAGCTAGCTGTAAGAAAACAATGAGAATGATGTTAATACAAATTCGAATTTTATGATATTTTACTTGATGAAAAAGTTACAAAAGGATGTGGATAGTCAAGTACCTCTCCATAGATAACCCACTTAGAAAAGAAGGGGTAATCGCTGGCAGATCCAACAGGAGCGAACCAAGAAGAACAGACTTGTTCTTTCCATTGATGCATGCGCAAGAATTTAGATATCCAAGTGTTTTGATCATGCTTTTGCCAAAATGAGAAGACTGGAAACCAACCAAAGCTCCTTCGATCAAGTGAACTCTCTCTTTGGAAAGCGCGGTTCCCACAATGACTGTAAAATACACAGCATGCTACACTTATAACCTGCAACGCGGCAAACAGGAAATAATGGGCATGCTCTGAAAGAAAGGGAAAAAAATTGAAAGGTAAAACCATGAGAAGTGATGATTTTAGACAATTACCGCACAATTTTGAATAATGGTCAGAATTTCTGGCCTTTTTCCTGCTACACGAGAAGCAAGGCCAACATACCATAGGCCAAGAAATATTACGTGAAAAACGATCAGAAAGAGAACAGATGAAAGGTATATAGTAAGAAATAGCGATAAATTCATCCTCAAATCAACTCCCATTGACTGAAAACTAGGAAGATGATATATGGCTGCCATAAATATCCAAGCAATATACCTGAAGCACATTCAAAGAAGACAATAAAAAATTAAATGTGGCATATGCATCTTTCCTATTAAACTTAGTGGAAACTCTTTAGAAATGAGTTAGCGGTGCACATACCAACGACTAAAGTTTGAATAGCTTGGTTTTATGGTCTTTCTGACAAATGGGGAGGAGAAAAAGTAGAAGAAACCAAACAGACAAATATACATAGACCACCATTTGAAATTCTTGTCCAATTTCTGAATGAGGGTTTGCATATTGTCCGACGAGATGAAGAAAAGACATCCGACAATTACAGCAGTCAAAGCATGCCTTGAATGCTCGTGCGGATAGGGGTAAGTATGAGTCAGAATGGTCCTCACCCTCTCCATTTTGAGGGTGTCCAACAATGGACCAATTGAATGTTTGTTTGTTCCCATTAAAAAAATTGGCAAACTCTATTAACTCGGATACTAATATGCTACAGAAGTATTAACTCGAGAAACAGATAATAGAAAGCAAGTGAGCACCACTTCTACCTGAGCTCAACTTCTACAGTAGCCATTTAACCCTGCAGGGAAAATGTACACCATGAGCTGCCAGATTAAGTGAAGTCATTGAATTGTTTATAAATAAGGGGAGAAAATGTTTTAAATCACATTATCCAACTATTTAGAACGCAGAGCAATCATCATAAAAAGAAGATGCAGATAAATTAGCAAATAATTTAATCAATAGCAAGCTCGTTTATTTTGTTGGCAACAAAAACAACAACAACAAGCTTTCATCCCACTAAGTAGGGTCGGCTCCATGCACCCTTTTTCTCCATTGTTTCCCATTAAGTGTCATATTTTCATTTAATTCTAATAAATTAAGATTATTTTTTATAGAACATGCCCAAGTCTTTTCAAGTTTACCTCTACCTTTCTTAACAAAAGACAAATCCAAAACATCTACTCTCCTAATTAGGTCATCAAAAAGTTTATTTCACTTGCAAATTATTAAAAAAAATCAAGAAGTGGAATTGAATAGTAAACTAATTTAACAGGTTCAAGATGCTGGATGTTCAGTTCCTGTTTGAATCAGCGAATTGGTGACGGTGTAAAAAAGTTGGCAGCCTTAGTTGACACGAGGAATTAGTAAAAACATGTATATTTGCATCTAATAGGTAAATTTCAAATCCTTGCCCATTGCGAATTCTGGCATTAGATCAAAAAAATTTCTCCCCGCCCTAGCACACGTTATTCTAACATTCAGATGACTGTCATCTGACTAAACAATCAATGCTCTTCCCCAACATACGACATCAACACTTCCAAATCACCGTTACCTTAGCCACACTATTACAACACCACACAGTGAACCTAATGCTCTTTTTAATTTGATATTAAGATCATTAAAATTTAGTTGGTATCAAAGAAATAAATGAATATAAGCTGCAACTGGTCAATCATTTCTTGTTTATAAACCTAAAAATTTTAGATCTCGAAACAACATATTCATGATTATTTTTGATGAGGGGCATAGGGGAAACGTGGGAATCAAGGGTGAAGGCGGAATCACAGGAGGTCGCAAGTGGAAGCAGGGTATCTAGGGTAGTGAGATTTTCACGATTTCCTTCCACAATCCGAGGCTCCCATGAGAGTGGTTTCGAACTGTGCGCGCCCTGATTTCCTATTTCAGCTATTTTTTAGTTCTTTTTGTATTACTTTCACCATTTCTAATAATTTTTTTCTATAATGACAATATTTATATATTGTTTTCTGGTTTGAGAGACCTTTGATATGGTTTAATACTATTTGGAGATGTTTTCTCCTAGTTTTTCCTATTAAAGTTTTGTATCTTCAGATTTCTTCCAGGTTATATGTCTGTAGTCTAATAGGATCAAAGTGGTGATCTCTCCCTAACGTACGGAAGCCTCTGTCATCCAACTCGCAACCAACTGTTGTTCAGAATAGAAAAATTGCTTTTATCAATTCTGGTTTGCTGTCCCGCCATTATCCATACAGCAATTTCATCTAACACCCCTCCTCGACATTTGTTTCTTGCCATTTTGTGGTTTTTCTTTCGATTTTCAGAAGGGGCAGCTGCCTGACATTGTCTATCCACCACCAAATATCGTTATCCTTACTATTCCTCTACCCCCTCCCCATCAAGCATGTTTCCCAAATACCATACCTTCCAAGCTCTAGATCAATGTCATTTGGTATCAAAACACGGCAAACCGTAAAATTTGCAGAGATTTGTATTTCTTTGCCCAATATACAAAATTAAAAAAAAAATAATCCTAGAATACCAAAATCATTGCGACCGCAATTCCTAGCCCCGAAACCTAAAGCCTACAAAATCCAATCTTCCTGGCCCCACCAAAAATCTATCGCGACGCCTATCATAGAAACTTTAAACTTCAACCAACCTTTTATCTGCAACCTTACACCCATTGAAACTGTGATCGAGAGAAAATGACACAGTACTACCTAGGAGAAATCTGCAATAAGGTCCAGAAGCTTACTATGGAGGATATACAGAGGGAAATCCTCTAAATGTAATAGAGGCTTATCATCTTTGAGAGGAGACAATTCGGTGAGGTCATCTGATGCCACAATAGTGACTCGTAAGATCGAGAAAAAGAATTGAATCCCCACCATGCAGCTTCCAGTGACGAAGAACCACTACCATGACGATTCAATATGGAATACTATAAGAAAAGCAAGGATCTTGAAGTAAATATGGATACAACAGTCCAATTGAATGTATCTTTGTAAAAATTATAGCCATATCAATTTTTGTCTATCAATTTTCCTTCCTAAATATTTCATTAATTCTACATGTACATCTTATTTGTGCGTCCCTCCATGGCATATGCTCAAAACTACCAAGTCTCTTTTCTATTTACCATAATTTCAATTGGTGAAAGTCCTGTCATTTTTCTAATATAATCCTTTTTTTATTATACTAAACATGTATCTTAATATCATCATTTCTACCATATTTAACTATTAGCAGTTTCTTGTTTGCCCTATATGAGAAATAAACAAAGAAAGATTACATTTTAAATGTATTGGAGTGAAAAGTAAATAGCATCCCAAATCCAAAGATAGTAATCTGAAGAGGGTGGGGTTGATCATTGATGTAGAAGGCCAAATACAAAGCAGCTCACAGGCATTTAGGAAAAAATGGGCAAAGAATGAACCAAACCCCACATCTGAAAAAAAAGAAATAGTTATTGTGAGATATGTTTTATAAAAAAGAAAGTACAAGCGAAACTGGAAGAAAAATAGAGATGCACCGTGCTTTTCTTTTTTCCTATTTTTTTGGCCAAAACACGGCCCTAGATATAAAGATTTACATGGGTAAGAAATAAGAAGGAATAACAATACCCTAGTAAGGAAGAAAAAAAATACCACATTACATTAATAACTACCAGCCATAGATGATGAGATCCCTATGAATAAAATAATAGCTAGCACAAAACTTGTTGTCTACCAAATTTGCTATAAACGTAGCCTCCAATGACACCAATCTTGGTGTAACTGCTGTCCCATTAATCCACAACTATCTTGTCATCCTGGAATGCCTCCACTAGCTGCAGGTATCCATGAGCTTTGCCTTGAAACCCGCAAGGGCACCTAACATCAATAATCACCAGCCCATATGTCCAAGCAAGAGATATTTATAATTCCAGGAAAGAAACAATGATTTTGTAGCAATATTTAATATTCCCTCCCAAGGTGATTAGTAAACATCCAGCAAAACAAATTTGTCAATCGTTTTTTCAAAAAGTTCAAAGTTCAAAAAGTTTTAATCAATTATTTGATAAAAATGTCATCACTCTTATCATAATAGTGAATCTAAAAAACATAGATCTGTAATTTGGATTTTCATTTTTAAATGAAGTGTCAACCTTATCTCCACATATTTGGTTTGATTATGATGGACAAAAAAGAGTGCTATACTACTAAGCTAGAAGCAATTTTATTATTACAAGATAATATCATAGAAGTCATCATAGTTACTTGATGTTCTTCTAGAAGTAGCATAAGCCATATTCATTCACTAATTCTACTAGCCAAAGATTCCCTCCTTTGACAAAGCCACCTTCATTCCCTGAAAATATCATATATTCTTGTGGTCTTTGATCTCAATTTTTGTAGCAAACAACTTTTTTGGTATGATAATTTCCTCTGAATCATCACTGATCAAGATTATATCATCTATATATATTATGAAATAGTAACTTTGCCTCTATTATTAGATTTAACAAATAGTGTATGATCAGCTTGACACTGAATGGTCTTAGCAAACATGTCAAGCCAAATACGAGGAGATTGCTTCAATCCATATAATGACTTCTTCAATTTGCAAACCAACCTATTTGACTTATTTTCCAAACCTTGAGATATTTTCCAAACCTTGAGATATTGTCATGTAGACTTCTTTATCAAGGTCCACGTTCAAGAAGTAAATGTTTACATTCAATTGATATAATGGCCAATCTTGGTTTATTGCAAGAGAGTAGAACACAAACAGCGTTGAGCTTGGTAACAAGTGCAAAGATTTCCTTATAGTCAACCACATATGACTGTGTGAAGTCCTTTGCTACCAATCTAGCTTTGAACCTCTCTACACTTCCATCACTTTGTATTTAAGCATGAATATCCATTTGTAGCCTATAGAATTGTTTCCATGAGGTAATTCTAAAAGTGTCCATGTGTAATTATTTTTAAGAGCTCGAATTCTTCCTCAACTGCGTGTTTTCATATTAGACCTTTATGGTTATTAGGTGGAAGAGGACTTAGTTCAGGTTCTTGACTGAACCTGATCTACATGGTGCTCTGTACATACTAAGTGGACTATTCCTCGGGTATAAACATGTCCTGATCAATAGTATTAAGTTGCAGTAGAGTTAAGACATGGGATAATTTCAGTGACAAAATTTGGTTCTTCAAGTGAGTTAGTTGAGTAGTAGGATTTGGATAAATTGTTTGAATGACAGGTTTTGATTCAATTGAGTATCTTGAACAAGAACCCAAATTTATATTCCAACAAATTCTCACCATGAATTTTAGGTTTGTGAAAAAAAGATTGATTTTCAAGGAATGTGATATCCATGAAGTTGTATATTTTATTAGTGATTAGAGAGTAGCATGTATATCCTTTTTGGTTGGAGTAACTGATGCATATATCTGAGAAATTTGGGATCTTGTTTGATGTGGTGTGTTAATAGGTGTGAACAAAAATGGAAGAACCAAAGACTTTCAATGGTAAGTTGAGGAAAAAAACAAATATGCGACTTGAATTTCATTAGAACATTACGAGAGATTTGAAATTTTAGGACACAATAAGACATTTTATTAATGAGATGGATGATATCATACTTGGAAAAATAAGGGCCAATAGTAGAATAAAAATATTCTTTAGCATTATCAGTTTTAAGAACTTGAATTTTCCTTTGAAATTAAGTATCATGGAGTAAAATAATTGATATATGGTGGTGGTTCAAGTATTTTCTTTCACAAGGAATGTCAAAGTTATTTTAGTATAATCTTCTCTTAATGATAGAGATCGTCGTGCCCTGTTTATATTTTTTATCTGGGAGGGCCCTTAGATATCACTGTGAATTATAGCAACAGAATGTGAAGTATTGTGTTATAATTTATAATGAACATGTCTATTATGTTTTGCAAGTTGACAACATTGATAGAAATGAGGCTTTTTATTGATAAATATATGTGAAAAAAAAATTTCGACAGAAACACAATTTGGATGACAAACGCGACAAAGCCTTAACATTACTTGACTTTCAACTAAAGCAGACTTAGAATGAGAAACTAGATTAGTTGAACTACACTCAGAAATACAACTTAACAGATGAACTTGTTCATCGATGAGATTATTTTCTTTAAGCAGATATAGACCACTATGCATCTCAGTACAATCATCATCCCTGAGTCCACTACCTGAAAAAATCACAAAAATTAGAAAAGTTTAGTCACACATTTTAAGTCACGATAAGTTCGTCGATTGAAAGTAGATTGTAATCTAAATTTAGAACATAAAGAACAGAATAAATGTGAAGATCATTTGTCCATTCGGCTGATCCAGCTCCTGCTACTGGAGAGAATGAACCATCAGTTGTTTGAAATGTAGAGTGAATGGTGCATGGGTTGTAATTTTTGAAGACATTAATATCTCCCATCATATGATCTAAAGACCTGGGTCAACTATCCAATATTTTAGTTTATTGCTTTGAACAGTAAGATCATGGGGTAGAATATCATGGTGTGCCACCAGATTGATCGATTGTTCGGTCGGGGATTGCGGTACTTGAACAAAATTGTAACTATGACCAAGCTTTTTTTTTTTTGCATTGCCTCAGATTGCTCCCTAGTGAATAGACTTAGTTATGAAATGTTGTTGGTTGTGACATCAGTATTTACACGGTTCTCACTGTCATCTCTTCAATTAGATGGCTTCCAATCTACAGGCTTATCATGTAATTTCCAACATTTATCCTTCACATAACCAAATTTCTTACGATGGTCGCACCACAGTCATCCCTTCTTTGGCCTAATATTCTAAGAGAAATTTTGAGACATAAAGCAGATCCTTCAATAGATGGTGAGGTGTGATTGTCCATCATCATCAACTTCTTCTGCAAAGGCTTCCCGAGTAGTAGGGATGGGTTTAAATCCCATGATTCTCCCCCTAACTTCTCTAAATCTTTATTTAGTTCAAGAAGAAATTTGTTCAGTAATTCTTCTATACAAATCGAATAATTTCTAGGAATGAACCACGTACATGTCCAATTGCAGGCAACAGCAAGTGAGTGTTGAAATATTGAATATCACTGAATTATCCCTCTCATAGATCATGTAGTCTGGTTTCAATCTCAAATGGCTATGAGGGAGTTTTCATTACTAAAGTAATTTTAACACGCAGCCTCCCATATCTCTTTGATTGTCCTATAGAATAGGAAATTTTCTCTAAACTCAGTGGTCATGAAATTTATTAACCATAACATAACCATGTGGTAGTCGGTTTTTAGTCTTGGTATTTTGAATTAGTAATTTTTAGAGCTGAAATTACTTCTGTGAGATGTACTTCTTTCCCTCTGTCACAGATGTACATGAAGACGAACTGTAACCATTTAAAAAAATTATAGCCATGCAATTTATGGTTTGTGACTACGTGAGGAAGTTTTAAGTACGGTAGGGACTAAAACATAAGCTCGGATCTAGAGGTAACTACCAAGGAAAAAGATTGTCATTCCACGCCATGTTTGACCATGATAAGATTGTGAACTTTGAATCGAGAAGATCAATTGTCTGAACAAAAAATAAGGAGGACCCTTAGTTCGATAGTTGGGCTGGACAGTGAACACGAACTAGAAGAACATGCACAACTCTCGAATTCCAAACAATCAGCACTCGATGAGAGGAGGTTGGGTCGTTTGCAAGTTCACAACTCATGAGGTGGAGGCAAGGGCAAGTCGAATCATTCATCGACCGAAGCAGCAACAGTGTTATAAGAGGGCAGATGACAAGCTAATCTTCTTAAATCGAATAATTTGAACAAATATGTGACGCGCAGATGAAAAGATCTATGATGCGGGAACGGAAGGATTCGAACGACAACAGTATTGTGCAAGGACAACGACCATAAGATCTTTGTTTCGGACGATCTATGAGAGGAGATGCTTCAACAATCACATTTGAACGAAAGGATCAAACAAGTGAGATGTTCAAACGGAGCTGCGGATCAATCAAGATGTTCGAACAGAACGTACGAGAGGGGACGAGCACTGCGTTCTCATCTAGGAGGCAAAGTAACGACGCGACGCGAAAGAGTCAGAGAGGAAACAACGACCTCGAGCGTGTGTACGTAAGGATGGCATCGAATGACAGCTTCGAAGGTTTCTATGAATCAGTCATGATCAATGGCGAGGAATAAGGTTGTGACCCAACAAAATCAATTCCAGAACTCTGACACCATGTAGAATTCTTGAATAAATTTTATTTCTCTCAAATCATGCATTACATCTTGCTACATATATATAATAAAGCAAAAATAAAAAAAAAATCCTCCAAATTAAAAAAACAGGAAAAGGAAATATCTAATAAAAAAAATAAAATTAATGAAATATATTTTGAAGAAAAAATAAATTCTTTCCTGATATAGATTGACAATTTCTAGTAGTATCCTATCATGAAAAAGAAAGGGTTGACCATTTCAAATTGATGGATGGTGCCATTTATATATCTATCTTCCCACTTTCTCAAATAACCATTTGGACCAAGCAAGGTTGTTGGAAGAAATTCTTCCTATTTAAATTGTATGAATAATTTAAAAAGGTGAGTGCTTCATGAAGACTCATAGAATAATATTGTGATTTGGTAAGGTGGTGTAAGAATCTATCTCCTCTCCTTCTTTATTATGCCTCATTAGGACACTCTTTTAATTGTTAGCCATATCTTCGATAGAACCCATCCCTAATACGATATTAGAAAGGGAAATAGAACAGAAAAGAAATAAGAAAACAGGAATGCTCCTTTGCTTCTTATCTGGCCAAAACATTACCCTAAATATAAAATTTTATAATGGGTAAAAAACAATATATAGAAAGACAAGCCCTGATAAAAAAGAAAAAGAAACAATACAGCAGCAATTACATTTAAAAACTGCTTATTATAGATGATAGAATCCCCGTAAATTTAATTATTCAATGCAATAAGTGTTGACAATGAAATATCTCATGCCCATAGCCTCTACACACCAATCCAAGTGTTATCAAACCTCCAGTTCATCAATCCAAGGGTCAAACAGGCATCTAAGGAGGTCTAGAGAAACAATGGCCATAGAAATGATCGATTCCAAGTCTATACTAATAGTACCATCAACAAAATGTAAAAAGAGGTCAACATTCAAATAGAAGGTTGCTTTTGTGAATCAAAAGACTAGAATGCATCTTTGACAAAAGTTATTAAACCTCAGTAAAATAATTTGCAAAGAAATCAATTCCATAATAAAAACTTCCTCCTTCTGACACTATCCTGTGTTTTTGTAGATAAAGTGTTATGTTAAACTCAACCATGCCATCAATTTGTTGCAATAATGAACACAGAGTCAACACTGTCATGAATATCTATAATGATATTAAACATATTCATGTACAGTGACACTTTCAAATATTGTATAATAGTTAAAAATATATCTCATGATCAAAGCACAAGAAAATAAAATAGCTATTTGGGATTCTCCTTCAGTAAAATAAAGAAAATAGAATATAGATCATGTTGATCAAGCACCTTCATAATCGCACAATACCTCTTCACCAATAAATTGGCATATTGTTGTCTCTATTTGGTAAGGCAGTCTTCTATCCTACTGATTTCAACTGCACCATAACGTTTCCTGTCTGACAAGAATACTAACACTAATAGGATCATAGAAGTTCTCTCTAAAACATCATCCAAACAATATTTTCTTTATATGGGCCAATTTTAGGCAATCTCCACATCTTCATTATCATAAAGATTACAAGTTTTCGCCTATATCGGATCCATCAGGTACAACAATTCAAAAATACTGGTAATTTTAACTCTGAAATGACTTACAGATAGGGGTCTGTATTATTTGGTCAAATTTGAAAAATCAAACTAAACTAAGTTCATTTTGTTGAAAAATCAAAATTCGGCTTTTTTTTTTTACTTTTAATATTAGGTTTTTTATTTTAAATTTAGTTTTGATTAACATTAAACCAAAGTAATCAAAAAACTGAATAATATTAAGATTAGCATTCATTTGGAAATAAAAAAACTTGAACATATGACATGTTTTATTCTATGTCAGGACTTTTTTAAAAAAGATGTTAATGAGATGGTGAGGAGATAAGAAAAAGAAATGAAATTTTTAATTTGAAATAGAACCTTAAGTTTTAATTACTTCAGGTCATATGCTAAATTTCTGAATCAATAAAACAAAACTATATTTTGATTCAGTTTGGATCGGTTTTAGCAAAAATTCAGTCTCCCCAGTTTTTAGATTTTGAATTTCGGTTTCATTCGATTTGACTAATTTGTGAACCTGCCTATCCAAATTAACTGATTGCACACGCTTATTTACAGCCCCTAGCAAGCTTCCCAATGAAAGCAGACTAAATAGTTAACCAGTCTAAAATTTTTTCCCCAAATGTAACGTGGATTTATTAAACCAGTTGAGTTCATTTTTAGTCTAACAAACCAAAGCAAGTGTGCAAGTAAAACTTGATGCTTCTTAGCTTTCATAATCCTTCAAGTAATATAGACAATCTACTCAAAGGTTCCCTGGACGTTACAGAACCACGAATAAGTACATTACCACATTTTAAGCTAGCATATCAATTCTCTACTCAAAATCCACATTAAACACAAATAGAACATAAGATAAGATAATCACTAAAGCATTCAAATGCAAGCAATCCTTCTCCTTCCAACCCAATACTTTCAAGATATTACTTCCTAATAATTCCAGCACCAAACCCAATCAAAAATCCATCAACCCACCTTGCATCTTTCCTCGTCCTCTTTTTAACTCACCAAAACAACCACAAAGCAGGAAAAAAAGCTGAATCTAAAACCGAAAACCATAAGGGGCGGATTGGCAGCAAATTTTGAACAAGGTTTAATCAAGATCTAACTTAAATATTACCAAACAGTACAAAACGGAAAACGAACTTAATCAATCCTAAAGAATGTTTGGAATTTTAACTCGCACCCCGCCAGCCCCGTCGATGCTGTTCCCAAACGAGTTCCGTTCAAACTCTTCTTCTCCTTCGCAAGCCGCTGGTTCCGCCGATGCCTTACCCTAGAAAGCTTCCATCACGTACCCTTCTCCTTCTTTACAAGCCGCAAATCCAGTGGCGCCTTCCGCCCGGAGAGAGTTCCCGTCACGAACTCTCCTTCTTCCTCGCACGCCAGTAATCCTGTCGTCGCCTTCCCCAGCAAGCTTCCGTAACAAATTCCTCTTCTCCTGCACACGATTTCCCCTTCCTCGCCTCTGCCTTATCGTGGAGGGTTTCGGGGAAATGGGATGGAGCGCAAGTGGAAGAAGCGAAGCCGAACTTATGTACCACGATATTAATCTACTTCTCTTCATTAAAGTTTAACTTATTATGGGGATGAGTTTATATCAAGTTTAATTTACGTTCAGACATGGCCGTGGATTGTATGGTGGTCCATCCGGTCCACCTATGCATGCAATAATTTCTACTGACTTCCTTCCCCATGGAAATATCTCCTATTTGGAGCTCATCAAATAAATAAATATATTACTTAATATTTATTTATTAAATAAATTTTTTGTTTGATTATCTTATAGTTAGGAGAAAAATTTGTGTATTGGAGGTTATAGATAGGTTACAGAAATGTTACAGAGGATGTAACATACCTATAACCCCAAATACCCTCTAAATGACCTTCGACGTACGCAGCTCTGCGTAGATCTTACGTACGCAAATTTTTCTCCATAGTTAGAGCCAAAGTATTGAGTTAGTAAATATGAATCTCCATGTGGAATTTTAAGGAATGAAAAAGACATGTTTAAAAAGGAAACTATAATCATTTTTCTTATGCAATTTGTCGTTGCTATGGACTCTATATTATTAGTAGTAAATATAGAAATACATTCTATACAATCATCTATCTTATATCTCGGTTATCCATACATATTAAGCAGGAGTTTAAGGTTTAGGGTTACAGACATAGTGAGTGCTTGCCTTAAAAAAAAAAATTCTCATGTAAAAATATTAATATAAGAGTTTACCCTAAATGTTATAACCCATTCTTAAGAAAATGTCCAACTTAACCACATTTTTTATATTATTGTTAAATTTTATATTCTGTTCTACTTATATTTTGTTTTTGTAAAATTGATTATATTATCATGGCAATTATCTGTAATTTTATTTAAATTATTATTACTAATTTTTTTAGTTATTTTATTAGTTATTAATTAATTTGTTTAATATTTAATTACCTCAAGTTGCCAAAAACTTGTTAAAATAAAGCAAATGAAAAACAAGGAAAAACCTTTTTTTTTTTGTTCTTTTGTTAGTACATGTTTTAGTGAAAACATTACTTTCATATTGAATTGCATAAATAATGGTTTGTTTGGGGCAGTTGTAGCAGTTTGAAGAAACAGTTGCAGAAGAAACTACCGTTCAAAAAGAAAAGCTGTGATGGTTATTACAATTTATTACAATTTTTTTTTTTTTGGAAAAGTCTGACAGCAGTTTTCTAGCGGCCACCGCGAGTAGTCAGTTCTGGTGGCAAAACACAGCTTTCAATTGCGGTTTTTTGAAAAAGCAAGCAAAACACAGTTTTGTTAAACAGAAAAAACTGCTGTGCGATATCGCACCACAGCCCCAAACGCACCCCAATGCAAAAGATTTATTTTTTTATTAGAATCTTGACAATGCTTTCATAACTCTAGATAGTTATTATTATCATAATAAGAGAAAAATTCACATCATATATTCATATAGGTTTTTTAAAATGATGACACATGGCATTAGTTTTATACTTCATAAATAAATTAGACAGGTTTACATACTTACCACTTAATTCATTTGTATTTACATATGTTGTGTGCCAGAGAATTCATTATGGTTGAGTTATTTTAACGTCTCAGCATTGTATGAGAATCAACTCACACTCACAGATAAAGGAAGAACTAATAAAGAGGTCACAAGGGAAAAAACTGCAGGGTCTAATCCAGTTGAAATAATTCAACCATCCATACGCATGTTACAAGGCATTATCTGCTCTTGAACAATAGAAAAAAATATTACAATAGTGGAAGATATTGACTTGACTTTTATTATATTAGTGGCAGAAAATACTGGGGAAGTGACAGCACTCGGTTGTAACTATGGAAAAACAACGATAGGGGTTGTGTGGTGGTAATATAGAATCATGTTCACTGATGGTATTGGCAAAGCAATGGTGGTCTGCTGATGGTGGCCGGAAGACGTTGGTAGTCTGACGGTGATAATGATGCTAATCGGGCAACAATGGTCCAGTGTCAGCAATGACAAAACAATGGTGGTTTGGTGGTGCCAATGGTTGTGGGCGGGCAACAATGGTCTGGAGGTGACAACGATGGTGATCTAATGACGGTGATGGTGATGTTGTGGTTTGACGACGGTAGCCTGACAATGACGAAAGTGGCGGACAAGCATTAGTCATTCGATGACGACGTTGATAGTCAGACGATGAAAATAGTGGTGGCTTGATAGTGGTTCTGCAGTGGCAAAGGTGGTAGTCAGGAAGCAGTGCAGGCCTAATGGCAGTGGTCCGACAGTGACAACATCATGAATGCAGTGGTCTCATTGGTTTGTTGGCGGTGGCGATGACAGTATTGAAGTTCTAGAACCCTCAAGAGCTTGGAGCTCCTTTAATTTTTTTCCTGTAAGTCCAACCTCAGGTCCCGGTCCCTCCTCATAAAAAGAGTGAGTTTCTATTTATATGTTTTGTGAGTGACATAACATTGCATAAAATATGAACCCCTCTATCAGCTGATCATGAGTGGTCTCTTTTATCAAATGACATTTTATGAGTATTTGTATGTCTTAATGATGTCATAATTATGTGATATTGAGCTATTTAGATTCATTTAGTCGAGATTTATTTTGTTTATAAATTTATCCATTTCTTACATCATGTGCTCCCCCAAAACATATATCATAGCCTCTTCCTATGCTTTAAGTGCATGACCTAGGTTTACTTGGCCTCAGTTCAAATTACATTTATCAAGACACATCATTTGAATTGGAGTATAGGTAATTAAATATTTGGAGCTCTCTATCACGCACCGTCAATCTTGAGAAAGGATTAGCCATATCCTTTTAGCCATGGAAAAGAAGATTCTAGAAAAAACAAGCAAGAAGAAGAATACTCTAAAGAATTCTAGAATGTTTCACATAATTCCAAAAATATGTTGAAAGAAGCAAGCTAAGAAAGAGCTCTAGAATATTCTGAAAAATTCTAGATTCATGCGTATAAATACTAATGTAGAACTACCTAGAAACTTGTATATTCTAATTTAATCTATAATATTTTATAGGACTTGAAGGAGAATTATAAATAGAGTTCTCACCCTCTCATTTGTAATCAACCAAGGCTTCTAAGCAACCAACTGTGTAATCAATAATTTCTTAGTGAGGTATTCATTTATCTCAATATTTTCTTCTTGGTTCTTTCCTAGAGAGTTTTTATGCTTCTAAGTCCAAGCATTACAAGGGTTAAGCTGACTTAGTGTTTAGGAAGAGCATTAAGGCCACACATGTAACAAGAGAAGTTTCTCTGTGACAGTTGGTATCGGAGAAAGGGTTAAGGATATAACAAAGAGTTTTAAAGAGCATGTCATGGAGTCTGAAGCTACAAATGTGGAATCATCTCAATAAGGACAAGGATGTGAGATGGGATCCTGCTGCATCCAAACCACATGAGAAGCTAGGGAGCTTATATCTGGCTTTAATTTGTGCCTTGCTTAGTTAAAATAGGCTATGAATAGCATGGAGGCCCAGATAGATGATCAAGGCGAAAAGATGAATAGCCTTGAAGAGGAGGGCATCACTATCCATTCCACAATCAGAGGTATGATGCTCCAATAGGAGAAATCCATGAAAGACCAATTGAAGAAGATGTGAGAAGAGATTAGAGACATTAATTCTTATGGGGCTCCGTGATGTTTAATGAGCTCATGAAGAAGAGATGAACAACCTACGAGATAGCTTGGAGAAGATGTGTGGAGATGTATCATTTTGCAAGCGAACATTAAAGACATTGACCAACCACCATGCGTTTGAAGTCAGGCACATCAAAGTGTCGAAGCCAAAGTGTTTTGAAGGAGATCACAACACCAAAAAAAGTAGAGAAATTCTTATAGGGATTTGAGCAATATTTTGGAGTAATGAGCATTATCGATGAAGATGCAAAAAACTAATTTACATCTCTTTATCTCTCTAAAATTGTTATGCTATTGTGAAGAAGAAGGTGAGGAGATATAGAGAAATGTATGTTCATCATATCTACCTTTTATGACTTTAAGAAAGAGCTTAAGAGTTAATTTTATCATGATAATTTGGAGAGTAAGACTAGAGCCCTTTTACGAAGGCCCAAACGAGCATGATCGATTCAGAAATACATTTAGAAGTTCTTTAGTTTAGTTCTTAAAATACCTGACATGTCAGATAAGGATGTTCTCTTCAACTTCAGGGATGGACTCCAACCATGGGCAATGATGGATATTAGATGGTGCGGGGTGCATGATCTTGCTATTGTCATTGCCTTTGTCGAGTGCTTGGTTGACTATGCAAAGGAGTCCACAACGTCAGAGTTTCTATGTTAAAGGTGAAGGAATTACGGACCAACACAAAGATGATACTCATTACAAATCATCCTCAATCAAGGGCAAAGACAAAAAAAAAGAAAAAGATAACAATAAAACTAAGCTGCATAACAACTGCTTCCTTTGTGGAGGACCTCATTAGGCAAGAGATTACCCTCAAAAGAAAGCCCTGAACTCTCTCCTTGCAAGTCATCATGTGGAAATAGGAGGCAATATGTCAATACAAGTGGGAGAAATATAACTACTCAATGTGGTGCAATCCTCTCCAAAACCTCTGAAAAAAGGGTTACTCTTCGTGGAGATGATTATAGGTGGGACAACTACAAAAACAATGATAGACATGAGAGCTTCTCATGACTTGTTGACCTCACTTTTGGTTGAGGTCTAG